TTCTTAATTAAAAAAGTAAAAAGGCCTCCATGTGTGCAGAATAGCACAACACTTTATGGAGTCCTGCTCTTCTCAGCACGGCTGGTGACTGCACAGATCTCCAATGGAACCACGTGGTTCTTGCTTCCAGTGTCGCTGCCACCACTACCACATGGGGAACAAATATTTAATAGCGGGCTCTTCAGTCTAGCAGAGAAAGGTCTAACATAATCCAACGGCTGGAAATTCAGACTGGAAAAAAGGTGTCCATTTTTAACGGCGAGGGTAATTAACCATTGGAACAATTTACCCAGGGTCGTGGTGGATTCTCCATTGCTGGCAATTTTTAAATCAAGATGGCACGTTTTTCTAGGAGAGATGCTCTAGACTAGGGGCAGGCAAACTTTTTGGCCTGAGGGCCACATCGGGTTTTGTAAATTGTATGGAGGGCCGGTTAGGGGAGGGGGTCGTGGCCCGGTCCCCACCTCCTATCTGCCCCCCCCCCGGGACTCCTGCCCCGTCCAACCACCCCTTCTCCCTGTCCCCTGACTGCTCCTGGAACCCCTGCCCCTGACTGCCCCCTGCCACCCCATCCAAGCCCCCCTCCTTCCTGACTGCCCCCATTCAACTCCCTTTCCCCCCCCAACTGCCCCGACCCCTATCCACACCCCTGACCACCACCCTGAACTCCCCTGCCCTCTAGCCAACACCCCCTGCTCCCTACCCTCTTACCGCGCTGCCTGGAGCACCGGTGGCTGGCGGCGCTACGGCCGCGCCGCCTGACAGAGCTGGGCCATGCCGCCACCACCACACAGCCCAGAGACCGGGTCAGGCCGGGCTCTGCAGCTGCGCTGCTCCAGAAGCTCACAGCCCCGCTGCCCGGAGCATTGCACTGGCAGCAGAGCAAGCGAGCGAGCTGAAGCTGTGGGGGAAGGGGGCACAGCGGGGGAGGGCCGGGAGCAAGCCTCCCTGGCCAGGAGCTCAGGGGCCGGGCAGGATCCGGCCCGTGGGCCGTAGTTTGCCCACCCCTGCTCTAGACGTTATTTTGGGGAAGTTTATGGCCTGTGCTGTACAGGAGCTCAGACTAGATGATCACAGTGGTCCCTTCTGGCCTTGGAATCTAGGAATCAATGAACTAAAAATGAGCCTCTTCCATTCCTTGAGTGCTGTGAAATCAACGGAACCCTGCCACCACTAACTTCAGTCACCCCAGCTGATCGGTGTGTAAATGTAGCAAGTGGTGTCACACCGCCATGAAATGAGCCAGCCCAGATGTATGCTCTGCTCCGGCCAGGATCACCTTCCAAAGAGAAAGCGACTTGCAAAGAAAGAACCAGCCAGCCATGCAGTGCGAGCTGGTGGCCTGAGGGTGAGGCTAACCATGGTGACAAACGCAGATGCCTCTCAGGAAATGGGCAGCTTTTTGCTGCTTCTCTTTCTAACCGTGCAGCCTGTGCGCGGCAACTGCCTTTTCTTCCAGAGGGGCGAGTTGCTGCAGAGGTATAAATCTTTAAAGATCTGCAGCGTGACTCACTCCTTCCCTACTGCAGTCTTGGCCATGAACCTAATCAAAACATGGGACCACAAAGGAGGATTTATTCCCCAGCTCCAAACATGGGACCACAAAGGAGGATTTATTCCCCAGCTCCAGCCTGCACCCCTGGCCAAGTAGCCTTCTGAAGTCGAGTGGCCGGTAAACAAAAGCAGCCAGGCTGCAGAAGATGAGTGCAAAGAGAGGCTGGGGCAGCCGGCGCCACCACGAATGTGATGCAAATTGAAGGATGAGTAGGTCTGTCAATCTGTAATCGTTAGCTTCAGCTGCTGGGGAGTGTAACGTAATGAACACTTGCTTGGTGGTGGTAGGTGAAGAGCATCCAGCGCTGCTTCAGATCAGTTCTGAATCTAAGGAACGTGAAGCCAGACAATGCTGGTGACAGCTTGTGATGCATCAGCCAGATTTCCTGGGGGTGAGATGTCTCACCGTGGCTTCTTTACACACCTTGGGGTTTTCTAGGCTATTCACTCTGATCGTATCCAACCAGATCAAAAGGGCAAGCGGAAGCTACACAGAGTCATCTGTGCAACAGGTTCTGCAGGGGCAATTAACATGGGCCAGGGGGACTAAGAGTGACCCTTAATGTTTGAACTCATTCCAGCCTTGCCAAAATCCAAGTATGGTGACTCATGCCTAAGCAGTTAGGATGTAGAAGCGCCCAGTGACTTTAGGACTGTCTCCACTGGTAAATATCTGCCACCCTACAGCAAATTGTTTAAAAAACATAGGCGTGGCCCTAATTCAGCTTGAAGGCCAGGTGCCTTCCAGCTGCTGCCTCTGTCCAGCCTGGGGGCTTCCAGTCACCTCTCCCGTGCCGGAGAGGCCATGGAGGGATGCAGCCATCAGGGCAAACACAGCAGCTGCAGAGAAACTGGCAGTGCTGTGAACACGCCCACCTACTGCACTGGGATGATCTCTCACTGGGGCGGTTCATGCTGAGCCATTATTACACAACCAAGGAGCCAGCAGCACACACCAGTCCTTCCTTTGCCTGAAGAGATGCAGCAGCCACTTGGAGGAGTGAAATCCAACTTCTGGGTGGAAATCCAGAGTGTCACCGTTGAAGTCCCTCTGAGTTTACACTAGCATCACTGAGGTTGGAATTTGGCTCTTAGGCTATCGTCCGCTGTGTGCGGTGTCTACTAGGCCAGTCTGCAGGATCTGACAGTGGAATCCCTGGAATTGCTCTCTTGGGACGGACAGCAGAATTGGGTCAGTGGTATTTAAGTGAACAATGAATGTGGTCCAGGTTGTTAATGACCAAAAAGTCATTACCATCTGCCAGCTGTTGAGTGGCCTGTATGACATAAATTGCTGGTCTTGGTCCAGTTTCTAGCACACGTGTCTGTACCGTAAAAATCACCATCACAATGGACAGTCTCAAAGTAATGGTCCATGGACACTGAGCTCTTCTCTTGCTCTGTAGATGGCCCCTTTAAGCAAGGGAGGAGGTACGCTGGATGGGAAACAGTGTACGGTATGTTTGTTTGCTTATACTAAAGCCGCTGTGTGGATAAAAACACCAGGCTTCAGTGTTCCAGGCTATCGTTGGCACCTTTCACCAGGGCTAAACTAGCTATAAACATAGCAATAGCCAAATTATTAGATAATGTGCCAGAACCTTAGCTAGTGCAAACTGTTACAGCTCCATGGACATCTACTGAGCTATGACGACTCATGCCAGCTGAGGACGCTGGCCCTCTAGTTTCCATTCTAGTGAATCCCTAAGAACAGATTTATGCATTATACCAAATCGTGCTCTCCTACGCTTTGAAGACAGGGCTGCACTGGTGTGACAAAAGAAACTGACCCAGGAACAGAGAAGATGGTGAGTTCTCAAATCAAGACAGCCTGAAAGAGGACACAAGAGAAGGGTGGGATTCATGTCACAATTTTTTTTATTATCTTGTGCCTTACAGTAGAAGAAGAAAAGTGTGAGCAAATAATGTTCTATTTCCAGTAGCTTATCCTGGCAACACTGACACCAAGGTTTTGTGTTATCATAACCTCATAATGGCATAGTGCTTTGGCAAACACACAACAAACACACAGTCTTCAGCTTTTGCAAAAGCGATCGCTGGCAATTTTAAGGCATTGGAAAAACCTACAGAAGTAAATCCTATATCGAACTTGGCACACATTGGAACAGGTAGGCTGGAGACACATACACTAACACAGTTTGGCAGATTGAAATGGAAGGTGGAATGCTACCCTACCAGAATCCCTTCCTTTGGAAAAACAGTGGGTGTGAATCCATCCTTCCAGTGACTAGAATCTCTCTGTTATGGTCCCCTGTGAGTCCATGACTGTTCATCTGTAAAGGTGTGGTGGAAGTTGGAATTATTTTAATCATATTACCTCACAGCACCAGTTGGTGTCTATTTATCAAGCAGAAGTGGAGTTTTTGTGCAGCTGTGTTGCTTCTGAGTCTGAATACCGAGGACAAAAAAATATGCATCTTCCAACATGTTCTCAGAAATGCACTGGAAGAGCCACTGAGATCCACTTGTGATTTTATAGTGCAGGAGTGTGTACCCATTTTAAATACACGAAGGAAACTCTCCTAACTTATGTGTGCTATTGATAAACCTCTTCTCATGAGAGTATGGACAGACTAATGCCGCCAAACTATAGAAACAGTCAATTGGCAGAAATGTATGCACCTTATAGTTTAATGCTAGTGCAAAAGCCAGGCTGGCCATACCTCCGAATGTTCTGTGCTTCTAGACTTAAAGTGATAGACTACAGCTCAAGAATTTGGGGTTGTTGGGGGTTTGGTTTTTGTTTGTTTGTTTTGCATTCTGATGATTTTTAGAATAGATCAAGGCCCAAAATCAAGAAACTAATTATAGCCCCCCCCCCCAAAAAAAATTCAAACCATGTGACTAGTTGGTACTGTCAATTCTAATCAATATATTTTTCTTAACCCATTGGCTACCAGATGGAATGAGGTGATATGGACACAACGAGTCACTATGCAATCACAGAAATGACCAACATGCATCTAGCTAACTGCAGAGCAGGGTGCTACAAAGACTGTCTATCCAAACCTGGAATTGCTTTAAAGGGGAAAAATAGACCAAATTCAGCCTTCTCCTAGTATAGTTTGTAACTGGAAATAGCCTTAACATGTGTAAGGCGTACATCAGGAGCAGCCATGAATGCAGGTAGATTGTGTTGGCTTTGAAGTGAGGAGTTCCTTACTGTGTGATTCGGTTTAACTAACCGTGATGCCCACAGACGATGTAGTTACTCAGTTGCCATCATCTCCAATTTCAGCCTAAGCTGTGAGATCCCTCTGTAATTTAATTGCTCCTGGCTAGAGTGTGGGATGTACTATTTCTAATGATGCTGAAGGGCTGGGACATTTCTATTGGGTGACAAGCGCATTAATTCAGGTGTAGACAATTGAAAGGTCTAGTGTAGATTGTTCCCCCTTAAATGCTAATTCTATTAATTTCAAAGGTTAAATTTTTTGGTTTGTAATGTTTCCTTCCTCTGGGTTTGATTGCTCGGTTTTCTTAGTTTCGGTCTCCTCAATCATTTCAGCAAAGGTCTCCCTCATCTGACTAGATGATACTTTAGAGGACACTTTAGAAGCCTCCTCTTTCTCTTCTTTCTTAAAAGACAGAGTAGGAGATATTTTTGAGGCAGTGGCCACAGGTAAACTGAAGACTCTGGGCTGGAAAGAATAACTGGGGTTAGAATGTGGATTCAGAGCCGAAATGCTGATGCTTCCAGTGGTAAAACGTGTCTCTTCACCTTCCAGCAGCTTCCTGAAAACACATCACAGAAGGAGAGGTTAGTTGGAGAAGGTTACCACTTCTGTGGCTCAGGTTAAAGATGAACAAACCAGTTTGGATATAAACTGAGATGAGCTCCAGCTGCAAAGTTTGGACCGTTTTGAAACATTCCATACATTTGGATGTGCTTGGATCTGTTTTATTTTTATGGGCTCCTTATAAAGATGGAGTGGGGGGGAGTGACACGGATATTTGCAAAATGTGATCTAGGATCCAGTTTCAGATTTTAAACACCTGCAAAGTCTGAGTGTGTCTGACCCAGAATTCTGATTCAGGCAATATCTGGATGAAAATAAGAAGCCCTCCACATCTACACCTGAAACTCAACCCAAACCTTTTTAAGGTTTAAAACAGCTCAGTTAATTTTTTCCCCCCTTTGTTATTTTTTCTGTGTTTTTGTGGGCTCTAACCTGGACCAGAACAAGGCAGGAAAGATCAAAAAGCAGGTTCTCATGTGACCGATATATAAAATATGCCTCCATTGGTGATTTCTGGGCACAGTTCCACTATGTTAAATATAATGCATATTAAAAAAAAACAGTCAAATGAAAACCTTAGTCCACAAATGAAATTTACCCACCACTCTCACCAGCTCAAGATAGGCCAGAGGAGGCATGCTGCAAAGGCTGTCTAGAAGGACAACAAGCGGCTTTGCAGGGGAAGCAAGTTTCCAGAGCCAAAGGCTCCTTGCTGAGAAACACCCCCTTCCAGCACCTCCGTGTTCAAATGTGGGGGTGATTGTTAGTGTTCTGAACGGTCTTGACTTGCAGGGTCATTCATAGTGAGTCAGGACCCACAGCGGAGGGCTTTAACCATTAGAAGCAACACCTTGAATCCCACCCAGTTCCGCTGTCTCAAGAGGTTTCATTCTGATGGCTGTTGGGAAAACATACACATTTCCAAAGCACCTGCATTTCACGAGTGTTCAAACCTCCTGAACCTTCCCAGCTTCACCCAGTTTTAAATCAGACACAACAGAACTCTTTCAGACCCAGCTGTCTGATCAACAGGCCAATCGTTCCAGCAGTGTGGCAGTCTAGAGCCAACTGCATAGGGGCAGTTGAGACTGCTTCTCCTCTCCCCCTGCCCATTTACAGGGGAATAGGGAGAACTTTGTGGAGGGGGAAAGAATTAGCATTTCAATATCCGCTGTGCTTAGTGTGGACATGGAATTGCTGCACTTGAATGCAGGTGCTGCCCTAGCTCACACAGGAGTGTGAATCTGGCCATGGCGCCAGACATGTACATCACAAAACCACTCAGCAATCGGGTATGAAGGCCAAGCTCTACTCAAGAAAGGCCCAGGATCTGGGACAGCAAGGAGTGTTGGAAGGCCAAGAATAACAGGCATTGGCACGGTTGTGGAGGGGAGGGACTAGGCCAGGTCAGGACTGAGGCACGTCAAGAGAGCTGTGTTTGGTACCAGTACTGGACCTGAGAAGCACTGACACGGCTGAATCGAGAGGCCAAGTGTGGATAATAAAGGTTTCTGCAGGTCAGGATTGGAGCGCTGTGACAGTGAGCAAAGCTATACACGCAGTAATAGCCCAGCAGCAGCAGTGGTGTGTGCTGTAGTCTGTTTAATGTAGGTTCTTATACCAGCCCCATCACCATGGCAGCTGAGCACCTTTTCAAGTAGGCTACCAAATGGTTGTCAACCAGGCACGGCTTTCAGTCACTCCTGAGCTGGGCTGGACGCGAAGGCAGGAGGTAGCTGCAGTTTCAAACGAACTTGGAAATACCATTTGTCGAGGGACAGGAGTCAAAAAAAATGACCTTGCTTGCCCAAGGAAGCAAACCCCCATAGTGGATAGGGCTGGACCATGCAAAGAATACAGCACCAGCAGGAGCGGGGGTGAGACCCAGGGGTGGGACTTGAACAACCCCTTCCTCAATAGGCTAATGGTCAAGACTACTCCCGGGCTAGAAGGTTAGTGCAAGGGGCTCAAGCCTTGACTTCAAAAAGAACGAGAAGTACTTGTGGCACCGTAGAGACTAACAAATTTATTTGGGCATAAGCTTTCATGGGCTATAATCCACTTCATCAGATGCATGGTGTGGAAAATACAGTAGCAGGGGTGTGTGTGTGTGTATATATACACACACACACACACACACACACACCATGAAAAGATGGGAGTTGCCTTACCAAGTGGGGGGTCAGTGCTAACGAGAAATTCAATTAACAGTAGAATACCAAGGGACGAAAAATCACTTTTGTAGTGGTAATGAGGGTGGCCCATTTCAAACAGTTGACAAGAAGGTGTGAACAACAGTAGGGGGAAATTAGTATGGAGAAATTCATTTTTGTAATGACCCATTATCCCAAGGGGAGAGAAATGGGGACTCAGCCTCCCAGAAGAGGTTAAAAGGTGTGTGTGTGGGCGGGGGGGGGGTATTCCTATGTCACATGCAGGATTTTGGTCAATCGATCTCTGAGCTCATCTCCAAGTATGGGAAAAGACTAAACAACACAGACAAGAGACTAGTTTGAGGGGCTAAGGGCATTGGCAGAGCTGAGGGGGTATATGCATGGAGTAACTGGTGTTTGGAAAGGATATTGGGTGGGGGTCGCAGAGGTCAGATGGGGTCACCCTCCATATCAGAAGGTGGGACCCCCGACTGCAAGGACACAGAGCGAGCTGCTGGAAACAGCAAGCTCTGGTGTTAGCTATTCAGATCTGGAATCTTTTTCAGTCAAAATAACGTAGCTGGGAAACACAGGCTTGCGTTGCTCTAATGTGAAGAAAAACACCGGATGTGAGGGTGGGGGACTAGCAAAGCAGGAGGGGAGGTTGGGCCTGGATTGAGGGGCATTGGCAGAGCTATGGCGGGGAGCCCAGACTGGCCTATCAGGGAGTAACGCAGGTCAGGACTGAGGTACGTTAGCATCTACTTGCTGTACCCAGTGTGTGATGAGTACCCCCACATCCAGTGCATGTGTCCTCCATTTACCCTCAGCAATTAAAACAAAACCAAGTGCTTTATTCGATGTATGGTTTTGTGCCAGACAAGGTGGCACAGACGAGGACAGGCCAAATAAACGTTGTGAGTTGTTACCTGTATGCAGCGATCTCTATATCCAGAGCCATTTTAACATTGAGCAAGTCTTGATACTCCCTCAGATGATGAGCCATTTCGCTCTTGGTGTTCCTCAAGTCGTTCTCCAGCTGACTGATGCTGTCCTGCAATCAAGCAAGCCCAGGGAGATAAGGAGCCGTGTTTCAAAAGCAAAGTCCTTAGCTGAACGCTTGATGTTCATTTCATTAGCGAGACAGGGAAAAATACAACTGCCAACTCCTCCATCCCAGCAGATTCCTGGCCAGGAGCGCAGCATGGGGAAATTCCAATTAAGAGAACTGCGGCCCAAAAACAAGGCAACGGCAGCTGTTAGAGCGGCCTCTTTCATTTTTTCCAATTGCTTTATTTAATTTCTTGGATGGTTGTTATAGGGACAATTAGACAAATGTGTCCAATTAGACACATCAGAGGAGCCCAGAGTTGAGAGAAATAACTCACTGAGTGGTGGGAGATGGGTGCTCAGCACCTCCTAGGATTTGGCCCTTAGCGACTGATTAAACAAAGCAAGGGGCTGTGGAATGGGGTTGGTCTCGATTGTTCCGATGCAAGGCAAGGGTTATGTACAGTGGGAGCCCAACCCCTAAAGCAGGGGTGGGCAAACTTTTTGGCCTGAGGGCTACATCGGGGAATAGAAATTGTATGGAGGGCCATGAATGCTCACAAAATTGGGGTTGGGGTGCAGGAGGGGGTGTGGGCTCTGGGGTGGGGCTGGGGATGAGGAGTTTGGGGTGTAGGAGGGTGCTCTGGGCTGGGACTGAGGGCGGGAGGGGGATCAGGGCTGGGGTGTGGGAAGGGGTTCAGGCTTCAGCTGGGGGTGGGGGCTCTGGGGTGGGGAGGAGAGGTTTGGGGTGCAGGAGGGTGCTCCGGGCTGGGATCAAGGGGTTTGGAGAGCGGGAGAGGGGGACCAGGGCTGGGGCAAGGGGTTGGGGCATGGGGAGAGGCTCAGGGGTGTGGCCCCCAACCGAGACCCCCACGGAGCAGGGTGGAGCCGCATGGTGCGGCCCCCAACCCTGCGCCTCGGCTGGAGCGTGGCCACACCACGCGGCTCGGCCACCAACCCAGCGTCCCGGCTGGAGCGGGGCCAAGCCACTTGGTGCGGCTCAGGGACCGGCATAAAATGGCTCATGGGCCCGATCCGGCCCACGAGCCGTAGTTTGCCCATCCCTGCCCTAAAGGAAAGTTAAGGATTGTGCTAGAGCTGCCCTCCCTCTCTTGTGGCTAAGGGTTTGTCTGAGCTTTTAGGCATGACCATGAGGAGAGACCACTTTTTTTGCACAGAGAAATGTTAACCACTGAAGCACAGCTACAAATTTGTTCCACAGTGTAGCAGGAACCGAAGTGTCTTACGGCAGCAGCAAAATGGTGGCATGGTAGATTCCCCAAACTAGCTAGCAGTGTTCCATAGGCAGGACTCCCAACGCCTTGAGAGGGAGGGACCCACATTGATCACCAGCTGAGGTTAGCTGATGAGCAGCATCTCCAGGTTCCAAAGGAGTTTAGTCCAGCTCTCTTCTGGAAGAACGGGGGCTGGGACATGAGGCCATCAATGAGAAGCATAGAAAGGCTCCTCAGAGCTTAGTCGAAGACACAGCAGTTCCCCAAGGAGTAGGAAGAGAAGATGGTGGTAATGGAAGAGACACAGACATGCTCCACCTCTCCTTAATACCATCTACGCCTTCCGTGACCTCATCTTTATTTTTTTCCCTACTTCACAAATTAATGGTGAAAGTGTAAAGGTAAAGTGGAAAGTGCATGCTATGTAATAAGCCATCAAGTCGCAAAGCATATTTGTCTTTTAAAATATTGTAAATATTTTTAAAGTCACTTAAAGGGATGGTGCCAGAAGCTGCAAATTTCCGATTTGCTTGAACAATCCTAGTTCACATTCAAACAAAATACTACAGACCTGGTGCATGCACAGCTATACTGAAGACATAGGGCCAAAATCAGACCTTATAGAAGCTGCTGCCACTCTACTGAGTTCCTAAAAGACTCGTGTTGAATTCAATGGACTTGCACTCACTCACGCGATCTCTGATTTAGACCCACCCACTCTAAAATGGGTAATTCCCACACAGAGAGCCAGATCCTCAGACAGTGCAGGTCAATGTAATCTCATTTATATCAATGGAGCTATGCTGCTTTACCCCAGCTGAGGACCTGACTCCATGCTATAAGAACATAAGAATGGCCTTACTGGGTCAGACCAAGGGTCCATCTAACCCAGTATCCTGTCTTCCAACAGTGGCCAGTGCCAGGTGCCCCAGAGGGAATGAACAGAACAGGGAATCATCAAGTGAGCCATCCCCTGACACCCATTCCCAGCTTCTGGCAATCAGAGGCTAGGGACACCATCCCTGCCCATCCTGGCTAATAGCCATTGATGGACCTATCCTACATGAATTTGAACCCTGTTATAGTCTTGGCCTTCACAACATCCTCTGGCAAGGAGTTCCACAGGTTGACTGTGCATTGTGTGAAGAAATATTTCCTTTTATTTGTTTTAAACCTGCTGCCTATTAATTTCATTTGGTGACCACTAGTTCTTGTGTTATAAGAAGTAATAAACAATACTTCCTTATCTACTTTCTCTACACCAATCATGATTTTATAGACCTCAATCATATCTCCCCTTAGCCATCTCTTTTCCAAGCTGAAAAGTCCCAGTCTTATTAATCTCTTCTCATACGGAAGCCATTCCATACCCCTAATCATTTTTGTTGCCCTTTTCTGAACCTTTTCCAATTCCAATATATCTTTTTTGAGATGGGGCCACCACATCTGCACATAGTATTCAAGATCCGGGTGTACAATGGATTTATATAGAGGCAACATGATATTTTCTGTCCTATTATCCCTTTCTTAATTATTCCCAGCATTCTGTTCACTCAATGTGCAGCGGCAGTCAAAAAAGTGGATGTTTTCAGAGCACTATCCACAATGACTTCAAGATCTCTTTCTTGAGTGGTAACAGCTAATTTAGACCCCATCATTTTATATGTATAGATGGGATTATGCTTTCCAATGTGCATTACTTTGCATTTATCAACATAAAATTAATTCACTTTTCACTAGGGTTGGGTGTATCAGGCATATGTCAGGGTATAGGACATTAAGATATAACTGTGCTAACAGCAGCCTTGCTTTATTTGTGTCATTTGAAAATATGGCTAAAACACCTGTAAGGCACTGATCACCTGTTTAACATTGGTGCTCAAGGATGCACATACAAATGCATGTGTAATTTCTGTAAGACGAAGCACCATCAAAATCATTGAGGAAATTTGTCACAAATCTTAACATTCTCTTCTGCTCCCACTGAGGTCAATGGCAAACGCTCCTTGACTTTAGCAGGAGCAGCACATAGGTAATTTAAGGCATGCAGCAGATTTGCCTAATAAATGAAGTTGCCAGCTGTGCGATGGGTCAGAGTGACAGGGTTTTTTTGCTGTCATAAAAGTAAGGGATTTTCACGTGGTTGCTTTCCCCATAAATACAGCTGGGGCTGTTTGCAAAGAGGACAATGGTCTCATTAGTCAGTTACAAAACAAGGCCGAACAGGCAGCAAGGAAAATATAGGTTGAATATTAGGGGGAAATTATATAACAATGGAGTAAACCGCTTAGAGAGGCTGTGGAATTGCCATTGTCTGAGAGAGGCTAGGCAATCAAGCAGAGATTGTTTCAGGATCATAAAATCAAAGCTGATACCATGAAGACACTGCAATAGATGGCCCACAGGAGGTTCCTCCCAACCCAAATAATTACCTGGGAATGTCTTTGTTGGGTCAGATGTTCCCATAGGCACCATCTGATTCAGGCTTTTTTAGTTTTTTGGATGTATATGTAGTTAGAATGCACATGAAAGTTGTATAACTTAGACCTGTGTGGGAAGCCGGCTGTTCTACATTGGCCAGCTAAGAAAATGTTCTCTCCCTCTGTTTCTTCCCAAGTCAGCCCTTAATGACTAGGTGCAGCTCTGTGTCTACAGTGGAAGAGACTCATTGGTATTTCATTCCACCACTCCCTCCTCCCTGTCCTATTTTGTGTCTTGCATAACCTACTAAATACATAATGCAAAGATGGCCGCCAGCAGCAAAATGCACAGAGCTAAACAAGTAGCAGACATGCCAAATCCTGGTTTTGGCTCTACCCATGTCAACCTCGGGTAAATCCATTGATTTCAGTGGAGTTACTCTAGACATGCAATGTCTGTTTACACGGCCTCCATCAATCTAGTCCCTGAGCCGTCATACATCCCCCTCTGCCTCGAATTTGGAGGCAATGGCTTGCTTTGCTCCTGTGACCCCCTTTAACCCCTTAACAACCATCGCTGATGGATTTTGATTAAGTCACAAGGACAGTGACCCTGGGGCAGGAACTCAAGGATGCGGAATGGGAGTTACAAATGAAGAAAGAATGGGGAGATTCATCAGGGCACACACTGAGATGCAGAGGGCATTCTGGGAGAAAATGAGTGTCCCGTGTAATGTAAACTCCCATTATAATATCCCTGATTTATAACATCTTTTTGTTCAGCGTTTGTACAGCACCTACGACAGCAGGGACTTGGTCTGTGAGAGGGGCTCCCAGATGGAGTCACCACACAAGTAATTATAAATAATATCCTCATTGGTACAGCAATGCTGTGCTATTGACCAACTACATCAACAGTGGTTTTGTTGGATAATAACTCCACTCTCAGATAAAACACTGTTCAGTTCCTTTCCTCTAATTCTGTCACCTCATTTGAGCACCCGGGGGTACAAAAACACTTCTTTGTAGAACTTGGCTATATTCCTCTCCCCTATTGCTCTGGGACTGGGTTGGGTAAGATGAATAATAAACATCAGGCATATTGACTGACAAGTACTTCAGATACAAAGCTCTGCCTCTCTGCCCTACCTAGACGCCCCTGTTTAGCACTCATGTTTTCCTGCGAACATACATTGTTTCTGAACCCACGTATAAATCCCAGCCTCTTCGTCATTCCATTCTCTGTGATCCTGTGTTAGCAGGGAGCAGCTTGTGCCAAGCGTGGGTTGTGCAGTCACCATTCAGACACTAGCACAGGGGGCATCAATCATGTGGCAATCCTGCATGGTGCTGCAAGGAAATGTATTTCCTGGCCTATTTGTGCCAGATTTGGATTCAGCACCGCACAGGTGAGATGAGGCTGCTTTTCATACCACTTGCTCAGACAATGTAAAAAGGTTTTGTTGCATTACCTAAGGGCCTGAGCCACAGGGCACTCCTGTGATACCCACTGAAAATCAATGTGAGTGCTGGGTGCTCAGCACGTCTTGGGGGCAAGCGGCAATTAATGACTATATCTTCCACTTAAGTGGATCAGTTACATTTTGCTTAACTGGGCCCCTTATTCAGGACTCTTTAATTTTAGCCCCCATGGCTGCAAGAAGAGGAAATGCTTAAAAACTAAATTTCACCCAAACAGATGAAGGTGGAGCACTGCATGCTGGGATTTGTAGGCTTCATGGACCACACCTATATGAGGGCACCAATGGACCTTATTGTAGAACTGTGGGCTACATTTGGCCCAAGACCCATGCCTGCTAGTAGAAGCTATTTCAGAGCAAAAAGCAGTAAAGTCTGGAGACTTATATGGAAGGCTGCAACAAGAAATATCACTATAGAACCTGTGAGGCTGACAACATTATGAGCATCTATCAATGTCTTCCCTTATGGAAAAGTCCTATAGAATTGAAGGGAAAGTGGGACTCTTTCGATATCTTTTTATAAAGTCCTATAGAATTTCATAGAGAAAATGTATCCCTGCTACAGAAATCTACAGGATGGTTTAAAAAAAACACCCCAAACTATAGAAAGAATCTCATTTTCTATTAAAATATATACATTTCTATAGGACACTACTGATTTAATCTCTATCTTATAATTTCCTATAAGGGATGCAAGAGATGCCACCAATTACCACCCCCACTAAACTAAAATCCAAGGATCATACATTAAAAAGTTGATATTCCATAATTAGATCAATTTCAACTATCCCAGAGTTTAATCCGGCTCTAGTATTTCTTCCTACATATAGATTGTTCTTGCAATCTCTGTTCACATGGCACCAAGGCTACAATATTTAAGAGGGTTACTAATATGTAATCCCTTTGAGTCCGCCTGTATGCACTATCACAGGACATCAAAATATTTCCATATTATTAAGTGAGGGAGAATAGCACCAACTATTTACTTAGATTGCAAGCAGTTTAGAGCAGGTATCAGGAGTTTATACAACCTTAGCACAGTATGGCCCTGAAAATACTTGGGGGCAGCACTGCAGTATAAATATTAAATAGTATCAGTTAAATATTATGTGCAGTAATTCATTCAGGAAGAAACTGTACAATTTAGCTATGGATGATCATTTAGGTTAACAAGATGTTGCAACCTCACTATTTTTTTTATCCTCAGGAGGGCTTCCACCCAGTAAAATCTGGAAAAAACAAACTATATTTTGTTGAGAGTCAGGGGAATTTAAATTAGCATATTTCCCAAACCACCCAAAAGAGACTGAGGGTCTAATGCAAAGCCCATTGAAATCAGAGGGAGTCTTTCCATGGACTTCAGTGTTCTTTGGAGCAGGCCCTAAGGAATATTTCTCCTAATCTAGCTGTGAAGGGTTCTAAGCGCTGCAATTTACAGTTCGTGTAACAAATGCCCTTGAAAACAAGGCAAGGCCGCTGCGAGGCAGCTCGGATGGTTTCTAGAAATTACCCATCACGAAAAAGAAAAGGAGCGAAATTCCAGAGTTCAGCTTCGCTGCAAAGTGACAAACTGACTTGAAAGGCTGATTTGGGGGTTCAATTCTCTTCATTCATTAAACGTGAATTAAAAGACTTTTTACAGCGACCCGCTGAAGTCTGGCGAAGGTAAATGTCAAATTCAGGACCTTGGCTAGAGACACTTTTTCCAGCCCTGTCTACCTATTGCTCCAACACCCACCCACATGAAGCCTGCAGTACGTGCAGTGCAGACACACTCCGATCTTGAGGGTGGGACGGCAGAAGACCTAAAGACTGATCCCTTCGCACAGACATCCCTGGGGCTATCGGGAAATCATGCCTCTGGCTGTGGGCACCTTTATGCATTTACACCGCTAGCTTTCTCTGCACGCCTGCTCCCCAATCTCAGTCCAACACAGTGTGTCACATCCTGGCTCTACTAAAGCCAAGGTAAAACTCCCAAACAACCCCACGTAGTTCATCTTCTGGGACCCTTTCCCCCACGAAATCCTTTAACCCCCCGCTCTCCCAGGTGCGGGGTCCTTCCCTGATTTCCAGCGGCTCATGCCCGGGTTTGCTTGACATCAAACTCCGCTGTCGCTGCCTTCCCCCCAGTCAAACTAGAAAACTCCCCACAGACTTCCCCAGCCCCTGCTGATCCGTGATAACTGGACTTCTCTGACCACTCCAGCTCGGGTGGCGGAGTCAGTCCAATGCCGCACAGGCTAGACATGTCTCGGACTGCCTGGGAGAGGTACGGCCAGTTGGGTCTGGCTAGTGGTGGCCATCGGTCCCTAGCCCTGCGCGGGCGAGAGCTACTCAACGCCACATGGGGAACAAGGGCCCTGCATGGGGTGGAGGTGCCAGGTGCTGCCCGGGGCGGAGGTGTCCGGCGCTGCACGGGGCTTCACGGGGCGGAGGTGCCCGGCGCTGCACGCGCTCCCTCACCTGCAACCCGCCCACCTCGGCGCCGTGCCTCTCCTCCATCTCCTGGATCTGCCGCTCCAGGGACTCGTTGGCGCCCCGCAGGCTCTCCGCCTCGACGGTGCGGGCCTGCAACTGGCGGCGGTACTCCTGGATCTCCTCGCGGCTGGCCCGGATGGCCTGGCTGCTGCGCGCCGCCTGCTCGTGGAGGTTGGCGAACTTGGAGCGGTACCACGCCTCGGCCGCCTGCAGGTTCTTGGCCGCCAGCGACTCGTACTGGCCGCGGATCTCCCGCAGCGCCGAGCTCAGGTCCGGCGTGGCCAGGTCCGGCTCCACCGAGACCTGGGCGGCCTGGAGCGCGGCCGCCAGCTCGGCCAGCTCCTCCTCGTGCACCTGGCGCAGGAAGGCGAGCTCCTCCCGCAGCGCCTCCACCTTCTGCTCCAGCCCCAGGCGGGCCCGGGCCGCCCCGTCCGCCTCCTGCCGCTGCGCCCGGGCGCGCTGCTCCGCCTCGGCCCGGCCCCGCGCCTCCTCCTCGCAGCGCGCCCGCAGGCGCTGCACCTCCCCGGCGAGCTGCTCCCGCGCCCGCGCCGCCTGCGCCTGCTCCGCCCCGGCTCCCTCCCGCTGCGCCCGCAGCTGCCGCAGCTCGCCCCGCCAGAGCTCGCCCAGGCGGGAGGGCTCGGCCTGGCGCTGCCGCAGCGCGCCCAGCTCGGCCTCCAGCCGCCGGTTCTGCCGCTCCAGCCGCCGCACCCGCTCGAGGTAGCCGGCGAAGCGGTCGTTCAGCCCCTGCAGCTGCTCCTGCTCGCGGCCCCGGGCGGACGCCTGGCCCAGGTCCAGGTCCAGGTCCTCGGCCCGGCGGGCGGCGCCCAGCGGGGGCCCATGGCTGCGGGGCAGCGAGGGGCCCCGGCCGCTGCCCGGGCGGGAGGAGGAGGAGGCGGGCAGCCGAGGCGGGGGCTCCCCGAAGATCTTCCGGTAGGAGGAGGCCAGGTAGTGGGGCTCCGAGCTCATGCTGCAGGCTGGGGGGAGGCTGGGCGCGCCCCTGCCTGATATAGCGGGGCGGGGGGGCGCCAGGCGCGGCGGGGCGGGCAGGCTGCAGGCTCCCGGGCGGCGGCGCTGCGGAGACCGAGCGGGAGCTGTCCGTTTTGCCGCAGTGCTGATGTCAGCCCCGCGCCCCGGATTCCCGAGTCTGCGAGAGGCACCCGCTGCTTCGCTCTCGGGGGGTGGAGAGAGCTGGACGGACAGACAGATCCACCCTCGTGAAGCGCAAGCTGCCAGGGGATTCCCAGGGAAACCTTGACCCCTTCCCTCCGCCCTCCCGCTGCAGCCTTCACATGGGCTGGTGTTCTGCAGTCACCCGCATTCCCCTTGTCCCACTGCGACTTTCACGGTGGGTTTCAAGATCACCCGAGGGGGAAAATGCAATGGAAAGAAACGCCCTGAGCCACTTTAGCAGCGAGTAGGAAATGCGGGGTTTCGGGGAGAAGGGTAGGTTAGGTGGGTGCGCGAATCGATAATGAATTGAGCAGATGGAACAGGTGAGTAGCTAGACTAGACGGTTAAATTGGTTTGGATTAGATCAGACTCTGAACTCTGTTAACTGTGTACTCCTGCATTAGCACGTTATACACACATATAAAAGAAACACATTAAAAATCACCTTTGCCATCATCCGTGTACGCTGATCAACAGCTGGACATTTTCCAGAATCGTTGCATAGTGTTGCACACACATATTGGGCTAAATTCATCCCCGGTATAACCCCACTGAAGTCAATGGAGTTAAAACCCGTGATGAATTTGTCTCCATGTTGCTTATAAGGAGTTAAAGGGTGGAAAGAATCCATTAAATGTAAAAACTGTAGCTGATACCAATGAGCAAATCTGTGTTTTCTACAGAATATTCTTGTAAGGATTTTTCTGTAACAAACAGGATTGACTGAGGAGGGAGTGGCAGACGTGTTCTGACAGGTTGATCTCCCATGTAGGAATTCCTTCTTCCATTATATATAGTGCCAAAATTATATGTAGTTACTTAGTAGGTAACAACAACAACAGATAGATGTATGTATATCTGGATGATGGATGTACAAATATCGATATGTATGTGACACGTCTGAATATGATGAGGAAACAAATTCTGTTACTTTTGAAATTGTCTCCATGTTGATGAAGTGGACATTCACCCAAGAAAGCTTATGCTCCAATACTTCTGTTAGTCTTAAAGGTGCCACAGGATCCTCTGTTGCTTTTTACAGATTCAGACTAACACGGCTACCCCTCTGATACTTGTTACTTATCTTTAGTGTTACTTATCTTTGCAATCTGGAAAAAGAAATGTGTTAAAATGCACAGTTGAAGTCTTACAAATTAAGATCTATGCAGAAGAGATAGGACCTTCAATTTCCCCTGAGACTTTTATAAGGGTAGTGGTTTGCATTGTTGTACCTGACCAAAATTTCCCCTTCCCTCCGTCCCCTCCCTTTTGTGCAGTGTGCTGTGTGCCAGTCACAGCCTTCCACCCCAGCGGTGGCTGCCTTTTACTGGCATTGTATGGATTTACGTCCCAACCCTGTAATTAGATCATCCAACATGGATTCCACAAGTGGGGGGAGATATGATAGAGGTCTATAAAATCATGAATGGTTCAGAGACAGTGAATAAGGAGGTGTTATTTACTCCTTTACATAACACAAGAACCAGGGGTCACCCAATTAAATTAATAGGCAGCAGGTTTAAAACAAACATAAGGAAATACTTCTTCATACAATGCACAGTCAACCTGTGGAACTCATTGCCAAGGGATGTTGTGAAGGCCAGAAGTATAACTCAGTTCAGGAAAGAATTAGATAAATTCCTGGAGGATAGGTCCATCAGTGGCTATTAGCTAAGATGTTCAAGGACCCTAAACCTCTGACTGCCAGAATAATTGCCTTGTTCTGTTCATTCCCTCTGAAGCCTCTGGCACCAGCCACTGTCGGAAGACAGGGTACGGGGCTAGATGGACCATTAGTCTGACCCAGTATGGCCATTTTTATGTTCACACACTGAGCTCCATTGATTTAAATGGCAGCAGGGGTCCACACTAATGGCTATAATTGCAGGAGCAGGATCACAATACATTTATAAAGTGCTTTGGGATAGAAGGTGCTAGAGCAATAGAAAGCATTGCAATTGATTATAGCAGCATAGTTTATCATGGAAAACACGCTATTGGTTCTTCTGAGCTCAGAGTCCAAGTCTGAAAAGCTCACATCATCTTTGAGATCCCCACATAAAAGCTGCCTAATGCTATTGTTATTATTTATTTGTATTGCAGCAAGGACTGGGGAGTCATGTAACGATAAGAAGGTCCCTGTGCCAAAGCGCTAATATGAGCAAAGTGGTATTGGAAACTTCAGAGGAAGGTAGTGAATACTGGCTATAGCCTCAGCAATTGTGGGCCAAACCCTGGCATCACCTCCATAGACACAGATGACCCAAAACTCCGGGGAAAGCCTATCTCTATTGCCCGGAATAGTCAGTCTGGGGAGAGCTGGATCACGGAGCACAGCTTAGCAGCAGTCTGTACACAGGAGGGATGAGGAGGTGTGATGGGACAGGCTGGAGGCATGGCGGGTGGGTCTGTGAACCGTGCAGAGGGCAACAGTGGCTTGTGGCTACTACTTCTACCTTTCCCATCCAGCTGCTGTGAGCTGGGGCTGAGGAGTCCGTTGCTCAGACCCATATGCGTATAGATGATCCCACAACCCAGTTGCTTGGGCTCTGGGCTCTTTCCCTGGATTTCTCCTTTGTTGAATAATTGCTACCTTCCTTTCAGGTTGTTCTGAGCTTCACAGGCTGACTTGTTCCTGATTTGAATTGCTTGCTGATAACATCTCTTTGCAAAGAAATCTATTTGCCCTTCTGTAGCCCATCTGAAGATCTCAGGGCAGTAACTAGCTGAGCTTCACAACACCCCAGTGCGGGAAGGAAGTGATATGCAATATAAATGGATCACTCCACCCACCACTGAAATGCAGCTGTTTCTGGGGTGGAACACAGCAGCTATTAGCTGAAATGGAGGTGCCAGTTGGGAATGGATTGCAGATCCATTGGGCCAGAGATCTCTATGGTGAGTGACATGGTCCTTTCCCAGCGTTCTCACCTACCATGGCATCCAAAAGTATATTTTTGGACACCTGTCCTTCCCCTTTTCCTCTGTGCTAGTCTGCACCAAAGTGAACACAAAGCAGCTTCCTGCCTTTATAGACGGCTGAATCCTAGAGATTTAAAGGTGCAATACACATAGAACAATGGTATAACCATTATCTTGCTAAATACACTGGAGAGATTTGTTGAGTCACACCAGGGATGGAATTGGTCTCATGTCTTTTGGACCTCACAATGCAGAAACAAGAAGTAGCTTAAATCTTTGTGATCCTCATTGTACAAGGTCCACCTGTTAAACTGTTTGTCCTGCTAGCTGCAATCCGTCTGGCTCTGCTCAGTGTCTGGTTTTGTGATGAAAAGGCAACCTGCCTCTTAGCTACGTATACCACAAATGGGACATGCTTGTCCCATACAATTTTCAGCACACCATTAAACAAATGCTCTAGGTACATGTTTCACCACCTGGCTGCAGTGCAGAAGAGTCACGTGGGAAGCGAATGCCTCCCTTGGTTGCAGAACTGGTGAGTCATGAAGGCAGAAAGTGTCTGCTCAGTTGTTGCCAGCTGCTTTCAGATGGAAGCGAGTGACACCATTTGGAAAAGAAAGGTTGGGGTTTGTGTTTATGCCAAGCAAAACCTTTAGTGCATCAGTGATACTGGAAGCAAAGATAAGTATAACACAAATGAACACACAAAATGACTGTCATAACTATAAAGGGAAAGGTAACATCCCTCCTGTATACAATACTATAAAATTCCTCCTGGCCAGAGTCACCAAAATCCTTTTACCTGTAAAGGGTTAAGAAGCTCAGGAAACCTGGCTGACACCTGACCCAAAGGACCAATAAGGGGACAAGATACTTTCAAATCTTAGGGGGAGGGAAGGCTTTTGTTTGTGCTCTTTGTTTTGGTGGTGTTCGCTCTTGGGACTAAGAGGGACTGGACATCAATCCAAGCTCTCCAAATCTTTCTGCACAAGTCTCTCATATTTCAAACTTGTAAGTAACAGCCAGGCAAGGCGTATTAGTTTATCTTTGTTTTCTCAACTTGTGAATTTTACCTTTGCTAGAGGGAGGTTGATCCCTGTTTTGTTGTAACTTTGAAACTAAGGCTAGAGGGGGTTCCTCTGGGCTCTTTGAATCTGATTACCCTGTAGTTATTTTTCATCCTGATTTTACAGAGATGATTTTTACATTTTCTTTTTAATAAAATCCTTCTTTTAAGACCCTGACTGATTTTTCCATTATCCAAAGACCCAGGGGTTTGGTGTTTGATCACTTTGTAACAATTGGTTAGGATATTATTCTCAAGCCTCCCCAGGAAAAGGAGTGTAAGGGCTTGGGGGGATATTTAGGGGGAAGAGGAACTCCAAGTGGTCCTTTCACTGTTTCTTGTTAAATCACTTGGTGGTGGCAGCGTACCAAGTTTTAACCTAAGCTTGTAGGAATAAGCTTAGGGGGCTTTCATGCGGGTCCCCACATCTGTACCCTAGAGTTCAGAGTGGGGAAGGAGCCCTGACAATGACGCACACACACATATACAAACACACTGTTATAGATACATAGTTAAACACACAGACTCACATACGCACCAATCGTCACATACAAAGATGCACAAAGCCATGCAGACATAAACAAAAGCACACAGGCACATTCACAAGCACACAAAGGGACAGGCACACAAACACAGACACACAGAAGCTTGTAGATGCACACTCAACACACACCCAGAGTCGCACACACAAAATCACACGCGTACACAATTGCTCATCTGCCCCATGGGTTCTCTTGTGTGGGGTTCTGTCTCAGGGCTCATTCTGTTTCCCCTTCTGTCCCACATGGATGTGAGGCAACTAAGGTAG